CCCCCCCGCCCCTGAGTTATTAAAAAAGGAGTCCTAAAAGGAATTTGTCTTTTGAGGCTCACTGCCTCCTAATATTCCCCCTGTGACTCTTCTTAATAGCACAATCTAGACCACAGTAATGTTCATCCTTTGGATCATATGAGATAAAACAGAAAATGTGTACAGTATGATTCAGCATGTCATAACCCATTTTGACTTGCAATAAATATAAGCAAGTGGTGTTCCTACAGAGGTACAGTCCAGCCCACCTCATTTCTTCCTCCTGCTGTTGTCTCTTATAAAAAAGACAGGTCAGTGACAAGGCATTCTCTGTGAGGGCCCCAGACTCTAGAATTTACTATCTACTTTCATCTGAAATAGCACAGAGTTGGTGCTCTTGTGTGCACACTGCAAAAGCCATCTGTGCCACAGGAATTTGAAGTGGTGAAGGTAAAACAATGAAAAGTTGTTAGCTGTGTTAGCCTGAAGCCTGGCAGAAGCCAGCATAGAGGTGCACTTTGTTTAGTCTGTAAGGTGCATCTCTGTTCCATCTTCTTAGTGATGGAGTGGTAGACTGGAGTTTCAGTAGGGGCTAAATCCTATTTCACTTTATGCCCTTAAAATGCACATACACAGGCATGTAACTGTCATCTTCAGCAATTAATTTGCACTCTATTTTGGTTTGTAGTGAAACAGAATCACTCTGCAGGGGCACTGACAGACATGCAACTTTCCACTGTAACTCATGGCACTTTTCAGGAAGCACCATGAATTACTGCTAGCCCTGAGTTTGGGAGATGAGCTACATCTTTACAGCCACTCTCACTCTCGCCTCACCCCTTCCCACTCCAAGCCATGGTGCAGTGCTGTCTTTAGAATGGGGAGGGGGGTGAGGGAGCAGAGGGAGCTCATTCTGGGAGTTGCTCAGCTGGTGCTGGAGGGTGAGGTGAGTGGATTGGAGCCTCCCCCCCACTCCCATTTCAACCACAATGTGGGGAGCAGAGCTTGGCTGTCAGCTGAGCCCTGCTCCCAGCTGCGCTGACAGACATTAGTGAAGGAGCTCCACTTTGGAGCACCTTCATCTGAACCCTTGTATAATGGGGTTCTGATTATGGTATGATTGGGCATTTTTAAAGCATTCTGCTGTGCACTTTTGTCACAATGGCTATTGCGTGCTTTCAGTGGCCAATCGAGCAACCAATTGTCACATCTGTCAGTGCCACTGTCACATCTGTCAGCACCCCATATGTTCTAGCTTGGTAACCTAGTAGTTGGGGACCCTGCTTCAGGGGCAAAAAACCCAGGTTCTAAGTCACCCGCATGCAGAGACAGTTTACCTCTTGAATTTCAGCAAAGCTCTCCCAGCACCAGACCTGGGTTGAGTGTTAGCCAAGCCAGCCCTCTTCTTGAAGCTGACCCACTAAAGCTTTCATTTATTATTCATTAGGTAAAATGGATAGAGATTGTTGGGGAAGTGTCTGCCTCATTATGGGCAAGAACCTAAGCTAGAACCTCTCCTGTCGAGGGCAGTATCCATTTCACTGAGCGATATGCCCACTGGCTTGTTCCCTTTCTTTATATAACATCTTCTTGTAGCTGTACAAGGGGTTAGTTTCAATGGCAGGGCTGGCAGGATTTCTGATTAATCCATGGCCTGGTGGTTAGAGCACTTTCCTGAGAAACTAATGATGCAGGTTCAAACCCCTTCTTGATAAGGAGGATCTAGAACCTGGATCTCCCAGTCCCTAGGCCACTGAAATATTTGGCTAAAACAGTGGTGTTCAATTTATCCAGTCCTGGATAGATGAAGCCTGCTCCCCTGTTTCTGTGCACTGCAAAGTTCCCATGATGAGGCACTCTGCACCCCAGTCAGCTACAGCAGGGCCCCTGTGCTGAGGCACATGGAGATGGGAAAGCAGTCAGCTCAGGGCTGCCTGCTCCCCCATCTCAAGGCACACTGTGCCCCTGTCAGCCAGGGAGTGGCTGGAGCCCATGGTACCTCACAGTGGGGGCTCCATAGCGCATGGAGGGAGCTCCCTAGTGTGCATAGTGCCCCATCTTGTTTTTCCTGGTGCATGCCACTGTGGCATGCTTTGCACCACTTTTCTCTTTAGGGCTTCTTTTTCCTACCAGGAAATCCCGGTAGCAAATTTTGCCCCAGCGCTGCAAAATTAGCAGCACAGTGCATGGTTTAACATGCAACAGACGTGGTTTGTGGCACCACAAAGAGGTTTGCAACATCACAAACTGCACATGCCTGCATGTCTGGATCTGGCCCCTAGACTAAAACATCAGAGCATCCTGAGCTGTCTAACATCTTCTAGTTAAGGGTATTTTCCTGCCTAGAATTTTGGGATTTACCTGGCC